CCGCCATCAGACCGCTATCGAGGATCATCCCATGAGAGATATGGATGGATAACACTCCATCATCACTACCAGCAACAGCAGTAGTCTCTTACACATAGATCACCGGTCCACATCCTCCAATGAACAATAGATATTTAGCCTGAGTGTGGACTTCGAACCATCTGTATAACATAGGGATAAAGCAGAACATTGCAGACTCTATCCCATACCTATAGAGATACCACAGAGAAGTCTAGTAAGTTGAGCTTAATCATCATCATAGACACGGCGCAGCATACATTGCGCCACAATACGACAACAGTGATGACGATGATGATATCAAATGATATTTCATAATCCGAACTGTTATCCAATCCTCCTCCTCCTCTTTGCACTTACACCACAAATTGGCCTCTAAAGGAGAGTGTGCTCGTAACCGCCACTTGTAGAAACTGTGCACAACGCAAGGATGCTTCTACAAATAACTTCGACACACTCAAAGACAATCTGACATAATGAGACCTATCAGACATGATGGATAATAGCGAAGTAGTAAGCGCTAAAGTCTGATAGAGTTCATATAAGCATTTCTGTTAATGTCACCACACTCAGCATCAACCATTCACATCGAGGTTACATGAATCAGAAGAGACTTGTCAATTAACAAGCTAGGAGTAGGATCGGGCTGAACTATAGCACTATAGTTAAGCTAAGACTGCTACGGGAAGACTGGAACCTGGAATAACGGTTAACTGATGGGGAAGTGATGTAGATATGAGAGGCTGAATCGTTTAATGACGCTATCGTCTCAGACTGTGAGATAGCGTCATTAAACGATTCAGAACGACTGTGAGTCACAGTGTTCGGTGAGTGTATCTAGGAGCATCATAGTTTATAGTAGATGTTGACGATGCTCAACCCAAACTTCTGATATGATATTAATGAGGAACTGTCTGTTGTGATGCTGCCAGGAAGGATCTATACGGCCATGCTTAGTTATCATCGTCGTTCCGTACTCTCCCCCCCACCAGAGCCAATCCCCACTCACACTAACTTCATCCAGTAGGACGCATCCCTGTACTCGCCAATTATGCCTCCTGATGCTGATGGTCGTGATACCCGGGAGTAGAACTCAGAGTTCCTATTGTTGGGCGGTCGACCACGACTACGACGAGGCCCAGGCCGAGGCCGAGGCCGAGCTGAATATACGACACTGTAGAGCATTGATTCTCATCATTGCTACGAGCCGAGGGATGATCCCTGTTAAATTGTCCACTGCCACTATGTTCTATTCCAGCATGCGGAACCTGGTCAGCAGGCACAAGATGTCGGATGCTGAATTGATCTCATCAATACCACTACTCACATCGAGCAGAGTAGCGTCCGATGTTGCAGTATGCGAGGGATGTGACAGCATAGGAAAAGACTGATACAACCGAGTCCCTGACCTAGATGACGACACCTGTCCAACCAGGACAGCAGCAGCAGCAGCAGCCACAGCCGCAGCCGGAACAACACTTGCGATATGCTACTCTCATAAGTCTACACAAGGTGACTCTATAGGTAGACAAGTAAGATCTCACAACGAGGATGAAAGCTTATACAACATAATAATGAGAGGGTTGTCAATCATACCAATAGTATGGTTAATATAGTATATCATACTCCTCATACAAGGTTCTGGACGTGTGCATAATCATAATAATAATCGTTATCATCACAGTTTAGGTATGTAGTAGATAATTTGAGAGCGCAGACTATTATATCTTTGTATAGTAAATCTTGCTCTTATCGGGCTCTATGTGGTAAAGAGTTCTTCAGCCAGTATCCCCCTGAAGGGAGATACGCTATAACTACGATAACCTGAATAAGTAGTGTAGTGGGAGAAGAAGGTTATATTACATACCAGAAGAATGACCGATGTTGTTGGGAAGACTCTTTGATCTGAGTATATAGCGCCAATCTTATCTACACCCCAGAGATCGATACCATAAACCAAGGTAGAACCTATGCTCCTATACCCCTTGTAGTTACATACTGCTATGACGTGGTATCTGATGATGAGCATGGGTATGATAATGATGATGATGAGATAACGAGTGATCTCATTACTCAGTAAGCTGGAAATGATGGTATACAATAGCAGGTATTTGGGAATCATACGCGGCCTTACCAATACCTAGGAGAATAGTTAGACCAAATATCATGAAGAATTCCCATGGGGTGGGATCTCTGTTTTTAATCCATTTATCAGGAGTTGAAGGATCCTGAGGAGATGCAGTAATTATGATACTTTGATCCTGTGATGAGGGGACTAGCGATAGCACCTGTCTGAAGTTTTCAACTATGCCTCTATTACTGTAGAAGAGGGCAATCCGAAGAACGAAAAAGATAGTGAGAATAGCAGCTCCAATGAGGATGGCCTGTGATGTGATAAGTAGTAAGATAAGTAGTAAAGGTAGTGGATACGTTATTACTATTCGACGTTTGAGGTATCCCTTATATATGAGCAAACCGTATACCCAAGATGACAGGCCTTGTGTGAAGAATAGGATTCCGACGAGGAATGGTATGACCCTCTGGCTAGATATGGAGTTGCTACGAAGGTAGAGAAT